CCGATCACTGCCTTGTAGTGGTTCAGTGGTGAAAATACTCGGTTGTAGTGAATATTAGGTAATGTAGAAAACATCGACTAGTCGAACTATCTCTGCTTGACTCTAGAAAGTTAGTCTGTATCGTGATTCTTACCATTTGATAGTTCTGTAATATAGGTATTTACCACCTAAGGTTTGACAGGCTGCAAATTAAGAGCCGAGTGAGAGAAAATTGTAGTTTTATGTACCACAATTAATGTGTAGGATGTGATTGCCAAGTGAACCCATGACTTGGGTTCTGCGTAAGGATGCTGGAGACTAGCTTGCGCCTTTGAATGCAATGCCACGCGGTGTTGATCTCTTTGCATATACGAATTTCTGTCTTTTCTTTTTTGGTGACACGTTTTTTGTGATCATTGCCTTTACAGCGTAAATCCCAAGCTTGAGTGACTAAACCGATTATAACAGTAGAAATAGAATAATAGCGAGACAAAGATACTGAAGCAGTATAAGTGGCGCGTTGGTAAAAGGATTAATAAGTAAGCTTATGAAAATGAGTAAGTCACCTTAAGGTAAGAGAGTGGTTGTATTGGCTATTAGGTTAATACGAAAAAAGTTTTTACATAAAATACATTATGACCTAGAAGGGTAAAAGGCATGTGGTAGAGCGGGCACCAACGCGACCAGATGGATGTTATTGTGAGGCTTACTGTAATTGGCCACCGTACTAGTAGTAAGGAATGGTGTCGAGTAGAATAGAACAGTGATAAAGCAATTAGATTAACACAGAAAGAAACGCATATAAAAATAAAGTGACTTTAACGCATATGTTGTTATTGGGATGGTAATATATGTAATGCGTAGCAGTGATTAGCACTGCCTATATTTATGGAGTGCCTAAACACTGAGATCTGCAGTGTGAGGTGAAGCAGGAAGGTGGAGACTAAGACAGCACTTAAGCCAGTGAGATGTTAACGTACAGCGAAACTACAAAATGTTTCTTAGCTATTGGAGATACAATGTGATTATAGGCTTAGATACCACGGAAGGTCAGGAACTGCATAAGAGGTTCGCTACAACGAAGTACGGTAAAGCGATTTCATAACAAGAGGTGAACGGAGATACCAAGTGGCACGGAAATAGAGAGTGGCAGGAACCGACGTGTGACCAGACGACCGTAGTCATTTTATACTACCTCAGGGATGGGCGGGTGGGTGCGGTTGTTGAACCTTGTGCTGACCTCGTATATCACAATTGTGACGGCAAAAGCGTAAAAAATATTGTATTCAATCTGGTGTTGAAAATATACGATATTGTTTATACCAACATATTCTTTGTTCTTGACAGCCTCAATATGCGGGCAAATGCTGTTTATCGTTGGTGATCAGTTCTTGTTGTGCGGATAGATGCTATCTATTGTTGGTACCCGCTCATTTGGGTGGGCCTCCATCACTATCAGAAGGTATATGGGATAAAGTTACTACAGAGAATATTATTTTCTATTAGATAATGCGTATTGGTCAACTTGTCGGCACGGAGAGCTTCATCCTCTCTTTCATCTATTTCGTTAACGATGCGTTGCAAGCAATTCAAAGCGTTCTGTAGTTGTAGAGGCGCAGATTTCTCCGCCTATACTTTCCTTAAATAATGAAAAAACCTACCTCCCAGATAATCGACAATGTTTTTAAAGCAGGCTCCCAACATGACAACTCAGAGCAGTCTATTTTCATTTCCGTTGTAACGTGACCATTCTACACTTCTTGAGTAACTTATTTCAACAATACATTTGTAAAATAATACTAAGGTGAGTACAAGTGCAGTACTTTATAAGTCGTTTGTCAATTGCTTACTGAGATTGAGCAAAATCTGATGTGACTTAGCGTTGAAATATAATAGGAAAATAAGCGGCGTTCGGGTCTGGATCGCGGGGAAAGGAAAAATGGTTGAAGAGCGAGGAAAAACAGTTCAAATAAATGTCGGTAAACATGTATGTGTTTCCTTCTTTTGCGGCCACGATGTTGTAAATAGCAACATTTATTTGATACAATACTGGGTAACGTTTTGGAGCATTTCACGTTTTTCAAGGCTTGGGAAGACAAAGTTATCGCTAACGTTTTCAGCCAGATATCTCCACAACCTCAACAGGAGAACCAGACAACCTAAAAATGATGTGTTTGGTTCAAACACTCTTAATGCACAAATAAAACATCCGTCTTTAATCAAGCTTATTGAAGCTATAGCACCACGTCCATCACTAGATTCTAAAATTGTTGGGGACATAGAAAAGAATCTTCCCGCATTTTTAAGTTTACAAGTGGCGCAAGCACTTCCTCGAAAGAGAAAGATTAAGAATGTTTGTCGAGCAAATTAATTCTCTGCTTCCTTCAAACATCAAACATGGCAAGCTATTAGCCTTGGTGGCCTGTTTAATAACACCTTCACATCCTCCTAGCTTCCTGCATCCGTTTGTAAACTTCAATGCTAAAGTCTTCCCTCGACAGTAGCGTCGGCAGCAGTTGATTTTACCGCATCGAAAATTTTTTCTACCTTTGCTCCATTATCTCATGTGTGCCGTGATACTATTAACAACCAGTTTAGCAATAAATACATGGTAATACCCGTATTATTCTACGAAATACATTTCTAGTCAATAAAATTTTGGAACTTCAAACCTTTTTTCTTCAGAGATTCATCACCTGCATCATCTGTCTGCCTGCTCATCGTTGATTGCCTCGAACGGGAGCCAGTAAACCTTCCATCTTTTCCTTACCGTGTGCAAGAGTAGCCGCGTGGGTTCTGTTCGCTTTATGGACTCATTGAGCATCATAGATTTTTTCTGCTGTTTTCGTGAAGAGCTCTGACCATTGGTTAGGTGGTCTTCTTGCAGTAGGTTTGACATCCCGAGGAATCCAGTTAGCTTTTGTCCATCGGTTGTCATTCATACGCATTACGTCTCCAGCCCACCTTATCTTCGACTATTTGGCGTACAGAACGACACCTTGATTTTTGATCGTTGACGCAGGTCGGAGCTTCGGATTCCTTCTCCTACTTGTGCGAAACGGGATACTCCTAGCATCGCCCTTTCGACTGCGCGTTCAATAACGCTGAGTGATCTTTCACCTTGCTAACGCAGCAACCAGGTTTTTGGCCCAGTTAAGTTGCGGCAGAAAGAAACGTGGGGTCGAAAAAGGTGGGTACGGAGACTGCTGCTTTTTGTTCTCTTCACTGCATCCTCGATGCTCTTGAAAGGTTTCCAAGCCGCTCGTTTCTCTGCTTAACTCAGGAGCTAAGCCGTCCATCTTACTGATATTCCGGCTTATGTAGACCAAAGTGGAACATGGGACATTCGGAGACATTCCTTCCGTTGAGCGTGATTGGCGCATAGGAAACCAATGTTTTTCCTGAACAATTTTTTTGCGAAATTAACCGAAGAAGAAATCGATGAGCATTCTTTCAACAAGCGTTATAAAATCCGCAAACATTCGTTTCGTTTGGCAAATGTTTGATATTATAAGAACGATAGTATCAGCAAACCGAAGATGGTGCAATTGCCGACTATCGATTTTCACTTCCATGTTGCCCCATTTCATTGCAGGCGTGACGTTCTCCATAGTGGAGGTAAATAAATTTGGAGAGGTAGCGTCGCCTGGGCTAACCCCTCTTTTGACGTCGATGTTAATATCGTTGTAGAATTGTGACATCTTGGTTGTGGAATTTTTATAGAATCCTTATGCACTGAGCAGGGGCTCCTTAGCTACTAAAGAGATCCATTACTGCTTCTATCTCATTTGAGTCAAAGGCTTTCTTTAAACCGATGAAAGTGAGACAGTGAGTTTTTTTGATCGTGCTAAATCTTTTTCGAAAACGTATTTGCTCACATGGCTTGCCTTCGTGCAGTGCTATTTAGGACGACTCGAGTAAAAAACTTGTAGACGACAGACATTAGGCAGATTGGGCGATAGTTCCCGATATCGTGAAGGACACCGTTCTTGAACAACAACGTGGTCTTTCTGGTCTTCTAATGAGTAGGAATCTCGCATTCAGAAAGGTAACGTGTGAAGATCTGTGCTGGGGTGTTTATAAAGACTGGCGGAAGGCTTTTCAGGTGTTCTGATCTTATTCTGTCCGAACCTGGTGCTGTTCGATTCTTCACCGACGAAATGGCATGTCGGACTTCGGAAGGAAAAACCGGTGGTACAATATATCCATCCTCCTTTATGCATTCTTTCTTTGGTGAGCTTACACGAGGTTGATAATGATATTTATTTATTTTCGGCTAACGTTTCTATTAACCTCGGCATTGATCAAGTAATTCTTTGTATTTTTGTTGAGCAAACGCCAGGTGTTATTGTTCTCTATTCACGAATAAGCTGACGTTTCAGCGGATTTCGCCTTCCTCAGAGCCTGGAAAGGTCAAGTTGATAGCAATCTACTCGGCCATACGTCTCCATAACCAAACAAAGAAACTCTAAACCAAGATGTATTCTTTCTTGAAAAGCTTGCACGAGGTTGATAAATATATTTATTTTCGGCTAACGTTTCGACGTCTTCGTCTTCCTCAGAGCCGATGATCCGAGTCGATGGTCCATGCTTGTTGTTCGCCTCGACGCTGCGTCTTCGCCTTCGTGTCGAGCCAGATCTTCCTCAGTGAGCCATCTTCTCGAATGAGGCATCCTTACTCAGTGATGTCCTTTTATACACGATGCTGATGGTGGATATATTGATAATGTCCGGTGGTAACAACTTGTATTTTTTCCGGGCATACATCATTGCGCACATCGTGCAGAAGTCGGTGTTTTTATCAGCTAGCACAAAGCGTAGTAATATTTCGAGAACGACTTTCGTTGAACCTCGGTATCACTAATCAATATGTATTCTTTCTTTGATGAGCTTACACAAGGTTGATAATGATATCTATTTATTCTCGGCTAACGTTTCGACCTCTTCGTTTTTCTCAGAGCCGATGATCCGAGTTGATGGTCCATGTTTGTTGTTCCTCTCGACGTTGCAGCTTCGCCTTCATGTCGAATCCGTCAGGAAAACGATTAACTCGGCGATTTGCGCAGGTTAGACGTTGCCGGAGAAAATCGCTCGGAAAACGCTTATTTCGAGGATTTATGCATGTTGGACGCAGTCACTGTGCTAAATATCTTCACCTGTCGTATGCGTATACGTACCCGTATATAAATTCTTCTTGTTGCGTGGAAGAAAGGTAGAGCAGATTTCATGATGATGAATGATCAGGAAAACTCATTGCTCTTCGTACAAAGAGCCGTTTACTTTTTCGCCCTTCCAGTGCCTGTCGAATGACGAATAGTTTTTAAATGGTGAGTAATGATGTAGGCAATTTTTATTTCCTGTCTATTTTTCTTTCATTGCAAGCCATGGGATGCAGTATAACCACAATGATGCTGGTTCCGTCTCTTCGCATCAATTTCTGATGTGGGATGGTGCAGTCACCAACCATATGCGAGTATAATCAGTTGTTCTAATCTTCCTCATTGGAAGTCACGAAAAAGCGGTGAGTTTATCGAGAAGCTGTTGATCATGTAATTACCGGAGAGTTCTTCGTCTTTCTGTAAGTGTTATCAAAGCGTTGGGCCTAGTAAATTGTATATCAGTATATCCTTCCAGGCTCTGAAGAAAGCGATACTGCCGACGTGTCAGTTAGTGATGTGTTTTATGTGCTTTGGTACAGAAATAAATGCATGATGTATAACAACTTCACGATTGCTGAGCAGGAAAACGGCACATTTGTAATCCAAGACCGAGGATGATAGAAAGTAGATCCTGGGATTATTTCAAAAATCCCTTATCGCCGCTAATTAAAAATAATAATAATAATTTTTTCTTTGATAAGTTTACACTAGGTTGATAAGCAGTTTCTTATTCGGCTACCGTTTTGACGCATTCGTCTTCGTCAGAGCTGACGATTCGAGTCGATAGTTCACGGTTCTTCTTCGTTTCGATGTGGCGTCTTCACCTTCGAATCGAGTTGTATCTTGCTCAGCAGACCATCTCTCCAAGTAATAACAAAACTAATCTGTAGCAATGATGTTGGAAATGAATTACCTATTCTACCTATTACCTGAATTACCTATTCTTAAATTCGATCATTTCAAAAACATTCGTTACTTTTCTTCCCTTCCAAAGCAGAAATCAAATTTAGCCGCAAGAAAAATTTTCCTTACTTTTTCTTGTTTTATAAGACCTGTCTCCACGTCTACTCTACGAATTCCAGTAGTTCTCACATTCTATTCGTTTCCTCGCATCCACCTTCCACGAAGGTCTACCAACTTTTGCGCGTGGTTTCGACTGCTGCTAGAGGATTTTCGTTTCATCTAGCAGGTCGTGGAATGCTGGTCAACTCGACTCTACCTAAAGTCCTGAAATAGCCAGTCTAGAGCGTTTTCCCGGATAACTCCGGTATCAATTCCCCCACCCTGGAGGAATGACAGGATTAGGGAACCTGGAGCGAATGCAAGTCTGCGGACGGGCCAAATAAAAAATTAACGTCTTCCAACTTTTTGAAGAACCAAAGAAACACTGCTGTCTATTTGAGTCATTTAACGAATGGTTAGATTACAGATGATGCGAATGGCTTAAAATTTATCTTTGAATGATGCTGATTTATGTACCTTGCGCTATTCAGCTGTTTGATCATTTTAAAGACTATGTTAAAATTTCAGAGGCCGTAAAGATTGTGCGTACATACGTTTACGAAACTTCCAAGTGTCATTTTTACACCCAGCTGTACATGACAGTTTGGAGGCTAAAAATATCTCGAAAACTAGAAACGCGTTTTCACTTCAAAAGTATAGATGTTACAAAAATGAGTTCTGCAATTTCCAGGAAAGCCCACTATAAGAACGGCCATTGGTGTTTCCGCGGGAGACCTTGTTCAACACTCAATGAGAATGTAACACAAAGTGAATTTGTGTCGGATTCCATCGCATTGTCGAGATGAACCTATATCACTCTTCTACATTTTTTTAAGGAGATCCTGCCGCATAACCGACTTTTTATTCCTTCGTTTGGATTAACGTTTTCTTTCACTATAGTTGTCATTATGAAGTAATGATTGAGTTCTCGAAAGAATACGAGCATATTATTACACTTAGTGCGGCCACCACTCCTTAGCAATGGTGCTTGAATATGACACTTCTTGTTCTCTGTTGATACTGTTCATAAAGGACGCGTAACACTTGGAAGCAGTGGAGAACTGCGAGTGCGACACTATCCTATTTGCAAAAATAGCAATGATCTAATTTCAGCGGAAAAAACTAGCAGTTCTTAGAGAGACGTGTCACACTATGTCTCCAAAGTGAAAGATGTCAAGTTGGTTTTGACCAAGAATGCCCGCTTTCAGTGCAAAACCAACATCTTTCTGCTCACGGTAAACATTAAAAAAAGATAAAGCTCTCGTCCTTGATCAATCCCTGAGGGATGCGCCATGCATTCGACTTCATTAACAAATCGTTTAGAGGTGACTGAATTCATATCTGGCCTTTATAATGACTCACAGTGGCCTAACGATGTATCGAGCCAGTGCTGCTATCTTCCTAGACAAGTCTGGTATCAATCTGCCGACCCCGGAAGGATGGATGGCTTGGTAAGCCATGGGCGCGGAGGTCGATTCTTCGTGCATGTTGCAGGGCGCCTCCGACCACTGCGCCACACGCGCTCCCTCGGTAAACATCATTAACAAATATTTCCCGAAATGCCTGATGTAGGAGGAAGAGTGCAAAGTGGACTAAATGCTTTGCATCCAATGCGTTTTTTCCTAACTTTATTTATTCTTTATTGTTTATTTTTTGTTTGATAATTTTGTTAATTGTTTATTGTTCATTTTTTGTTTATTTATTCTGCTGCACTAGGCTTTCATGCCACACTTTTTCTACCCAATCGCTAACTTAAGAGTCTTCTTAAAGCAAGAGAGGAAAATCCGTTTTACAATCCTTCCATGTCTTCAACGCTAGTCTTCTAATTATCAAAAAACTATCATTTTTTGCCAAAATACCAGAAATTCCGTAACGGACATGAAATTAAGAGTCATCACAGTCAACAGTCATGAAATTTTGAAAGTTCGGCGTTATGCATCGACTGTGATGAAAAACCGATGGATTATAAAAATCTTTGCCAAAGAGGCACTCCTTCCGCCATTCTACTACGATAACGTTTCCATTTCCTAGAGAACAAAGAATATTTTTTTCATTTTATTTTATTTGACCGGGCGTCACGTCTATCGTGTGGATCCAAGCACTTCTTACATTCGATTCGTTTCATCGCTTCGATTATCCACGGAGATCTTCCAACCTTTACGTGTGGCCTTGGTTGCTCCTTGAACACTTTCATTTCGTCTTGAATGTCGTAGAATGCTGGTCGAGCGGTTCCGTTTACAATTTTTTGTAAATTGTCCATTTACAATTTTTTGATTTCTTTTTTTCCACGTGAATTAGAGGCTGAACAGTATTTCATAAAAGCATACATATACGCTTAAAGCGATATAATTCTATCCCTAAGTGTTTTAACTTTTCTACTGGCTTAGTGATCAAGGAATTCTCATCACTTCTCATGAAACCACCACGACCGCGATCATATTAAAAATGAAAATGCTGTCATTATAATGAAGGTCATGCTTTACATCATCGCGATTTCGGGTGGTTCTGGTTGCTTCCTTCTTTGTTTGTTTCCCTGTCTTTGAAGAACGTCCAAGAGAGCGAACTATCACACACTGGTTACCGTTGTAACCTTTATGATATAAACAACTACTTAAATGGTTTAGAAAGCAGGTTTTGCCAATTAAGACCTAATGGCTTTGTTGTTCATGAATGTGCAGATTTCTTTCTCTTATTAGACTATACTTCCATGAAACCTATGCTAATCGATCGTGCGAAGAAAAGCCTTAAATTTACTTTACCTTGGAACAGGTGGCGAAGGAAAAAGTGTTCATATGGCTTTCTAAAACGTTGCTCAAACATTGTTAAAACAATGTCTGACCTTATTCTTCGGTAAAAATTGTTGACAATGCGAATAAACCTTGTGTTTAGAGTCTGACAACATGGTTTTCAAATAGTTTCATCTAGTTACAAACGCAATTTCATTCGTAACAGTACGGGCGAGAAGCGTGGCATGCATTTAATAACATTTCACTAACTACTATTATAACAACGATAAACGTTGTGTAGCCCAATCGCGCGTTCGAAGCCCACCAGTGGTTTCGAGATTTGCTCATATTTAAGCTCACTTAGTGTTAAAAGTATTATTTACAACATCTACTACAGTTGTACCGTTTCCTATTGAACAAGGATTCGAACAAACCCTGTGGGTCTACTCTGTGAAATATGCGTAGCGCGACTCGCCAAATGATGTAATTCATACAACAACAATAACAGGCGTAGTGTTTATATATTGACCAGTGCTTCCTGCTTTGCTAACGCTCTCGGCGGCAACTCATGTCAGCGGTCTGCTTTTCCTTGGTAAGCTTTTCTTCGCCTAAAGTTAGCTTCTTTATATTGTAGGGCTTCTAGGGCGTGTGTGGTGCAGTGGTCGGAGGCGCCCTGCAACACACATGGGGTCGATCCCGGCGCCCGTGGCTCACCAAGCCTTCCATCACTCCTGGGTGGGCAAATTGGTACCACAATTTTCTGGAGGTGTAGCAGCGCTGGCTCAATACATCGGTAGGCCATTGCGAGTCATTGTAAAGGTCAGATGTACATTTACTCACCTTTAACGATGTTTAATGAAGTCGACTGCATGGCGCATCCTTCAAAGATTGATCAGTGCCACGAGCTTTATCCTTTTTTAAAAGTTAGCTGCTGGCGAAATACTTGAGAACTAACAGGGTCTTGTCTTCCAGTGTGATAGCAAAATAGTTGCTTTAGCTTGATTTCCTCAAACAGTGCGTTATTACTTTCAGCTCATTGCTCTGATACACGTGGTTGTGGTTACTCCGATCCTTTTCGATCTTCTCAACGGTCTTGGTCCTCGATATCCGCAATGCATTTGTGCTCCTCCACCTTGCGCAGCGGCTGCGACAGCATCTGCAACCAGTGTATCTGGGGCTGCAGCTCCAGAACCAGTACCACTTCGACGTCCAGCGTACAGCGATGAAGAACAAGCACTCAGAGCATCACCCTACTCAACTGGCTATCCACCAGTACCACCGCCACCACCACCATCACCGCCTTATCCATTAAGGCAGCCATATAGGCAAAGGTTCCGTCGGTATGCGTTAATTTTTGTAGACAGCTCCAATTGAAGGCCTCAGTGAGACCGAAAATCATTTTAGTGGAGGCCACTGTCGTAATATATAATAGGAAAAAACTTTCATTTGTAACTTAAAAACCAACTTCCATTAAACTTACATAAAGATCAATAATTTTCTAATTGGTCGCAAAAGGTTCGTGGAAAAATCGTGCAGGTTTATTCGGCTAACGTTCCGGCGCCTTCGCTTTCCTCACAGCAGCATGGATTCCAGTCGATGATCTTCACCTGAAACTTTCATTTAGTTTAACAGCCAGTCGATAAATGTGGAATACCATTAGGGCAGGGTTTCCATAGAAAAATTCAGCTAATGAACCTTTAAGACAGTTTGGGTAGTTTTCATTTTACACTAAAAAGAAGCTGATCCAGACATACCATTCTAATCAATAGTTTTGCCTCAGAGTGAACTAATCAATTTCGAGTTTCCAGGATCGACTTTCTATTAACCTCGGCATTGGAATATGAATGTGTCGTTTTTTGTTCAGCAATCGCGAGATTTTTAAACAGCATACATTTACTTCCATAGAGAAACACAATACAATACAACACTAGCTGACGCTTCGGCAGTATCGCCTTCTTCAGAGCCGCTTTTTCGTGACTTCCAATGAGGAAGTCATCAACCATATGCGACTATAATCAGCTGTTCTTAACTTCCTCATTGGAAGTCACGCAAAAAGCGGCTCTGAAGAAGGCGATACTGCCGAAACGTCAGCTGGCGTTGTATTGTGCTTTGTTCTTCTATGGAAGTAAATGTATGCTGTTTAAAAACCTCGCGATTGCTGAACAAGAAAACGACACATTCAATTTCGAGTATCTCAAACTATGAACAGCTTATCCGACTCATCAGTGTGCTGAAAAGTTACCAGAAATTAAAGTAGAAAGGAGACATTTTCTAAAGTTTGTAGTGATTTCTTTTCTCACCTTTTAAGCGTTCAAGATTTCGTGTAAATCTCTTCAGTTTAGAGATACTCTAGTGGAATCAGAAAGTGATAACAAGATAACCGGATGTAGTAATGAATCTGTTGGAGAAATCATTCAACAGGTGAGGTGAATTTACTCTTCCTAATTTGTAAAGCTTTTTAGACTTCAGTTTTTCTTCTTGTGAGAAAGGAATGCTCTGAAATGAACTAGTTATTTTTTCTCACTAGAAACTTAGGCAACTGTTGTTCATTCTGCGCAATCTCTCCAGTATTAGTTCTTCCTGATCGCCGTCTGTTGTATTTCCACTAAGTTTTGCTCCTCAATTTAGATAATTTTTTAAATTTCCATCACCGAGTTAACAGATGTGCACTATGTTATAAACAACATTACCACTACCACGTACGATTTTAACAATAAAGCCTTTAACTTGTTTAAAGTGCTCGTGTAGCGCAATAGTTAGTGGGCGCTACAATACAAAGTGAGTCATCGCTAATAGAATCGAGTGCCGTGGCCTGGCCAAGCCTTCCATCGCTCTGTGGTAGGCAAATTTATGCTGGTCTTGTATGGGATATAAACGGGGCAAAAAAGAATTTTCCAGGTTAATTCGTGCATTTCGGCTATTAAGTTATTACGTATGTCAAATATGTGTTCAATCACCTCTATTTTTAATGAATTGATTCGAATCCATGGCGTACCGACCAGTGATTGGTCAACGCCGGGTGCTTTATCACTTGTCATTCCACTGTTCATTAAATTGTTTACGCGCTAAAGTTAAGAAGCAACAGTCGCTTCAAATTTGCGTCAAAATGAAGGAATTAATCCAGCGCTAGTGAGCCTAGAGAGGAGTCATTCTTTCTGGGAGTTTAAATTTCGCCCTGTCAAGGAGAAAACACAGCTAAAGGTCTTTCTTTCACCTTCAGAGCATGACGTCTTCACTGGAAGATTCTCAGGATCGAATTCATCGTTCCTTGCTGACTCACTATGGCAGAGATGTGATCGTTCTCTGCTCACCACATCGTGTTCACATTGCAATTTCTGATGGAATTGAATTCTGCATGAAAAGCAGAACTGAAATGTATTGTTACGCATTTGTTTTCTAGACTAGGCCCAAAATTTGAATAAGGAATACTGGAGTCCATGCCGTTGTGTTCGTTGACCATTATTATTATGTGAATAAAAATGCTAAAAATATCTTCTGTCTTCGTGGAGATTTCCGATGTCGTGATTTTTGTTAAGGAAACCGAAGTCTGCGCTATGCGCATGAAGGCACTACTTCGTCAAAGAACTCGCTTATTTTTGAGTTCTGTGCATGTTTATAAAGTGTAAAGCATTCGGCTTGACCAATCCTTGAGGGATGCGCCATGCATTCGACACCATTCGTAGCGTCTTAGAGACGACTAAATGCGTTTCCCACCTGTACAATGAGAGTTCCTTCGTAAAAACGGTAATCCACTTGGATCCAACTTTTAAATTAATCGTATTGTCTCGGTTTTCAAATGCAAGCAATGTTCACTAGGTCTTGAAAACAGTTTCTCATCTTTATTAACAGTCATGAAAAAAGTTTATAATGGTTTCGCTATAGGTTCTTTTCACAGATATCTATTTAATAAATAATGCTCGATACGCATTGGACACAATGCATTTTTTGGCGAAACAGCAGCAGTTATCAGCTTTGGGCCAATACATTTCAGCTCATATTAAATAAAAACCATTAAAGTCTCAAGATCTCTACATGAAATCAGATGTTATGTTGTTCCAACATGGTNGTTTTCAAATGCAAGCAATGTTCACTAGGTCTTGAAAACAGTTTCTCATCTTTATTAACAGTCATGAAAAAAGTTTATAATGGTTTCGCTATAGGTTCTTTTTATAGATATCTATTTAATAAATAGTGCTCGATACGCATTGGACACAATGCATTTTTTGGCGAAACAGCAGCAGTTATCAACTTTGGGCCAATACATTTCAGCTCATATTAAATAAAAACCATTAAAGTCTCAAGATCTCTACATGAAATCAGATGTTATGTTGTTCCAACATGGTGAAAATTCGAACCTTCGGAGCCCATGGCACATTTTTTTCCACGTCTTTCGTTAAAGACTCGTTATTTGAACACGGAACTAAACTAACAAGCGCAATTTCGTCCAGCAGCATGGAAGATGTTCCCTGATGTAACATTTATGTTTCTGGCTGCCATTCTTTTCGTAGAAACTTCGAAAAGTTGAACTTGTTTTCAGTTTTCCCGAAGCCTTAATTCTAAGCCGCAGTAATTTTCAAACCAATCGTCATTTAACCACGGCAGTTATCACTCTTCCTAACCTCTGTTCATCCTCGGTGGAAGGCAGGTAAAAAAACAGTGGGTTTTTCGAGAAGCCGGTGATCGTGAAATTATTGTTCAGATTTTCATCTTTCCGTTTGCGCAATTGAAGCGTTTGACCTAGTAAGTTGCGTATTAGTGTATCCTTCCAGGCATTGAAGAAGGCGATGCTGCCGAAACGTCAGCTACCGTTGTGCTGGATGTGTTATATGTGTAAGGAAGTAAACGTGTGCTGAATAGCAACCTCGCGATTGCTCTAAAAAGGAAAACGACAGATTTATAATCCAATGACGATGTTAATAGAAAGTCGATCTTGAGAGCTTCTTAGATTGTTCAGCTAGCACGAGGAGAATAAAATTTATTTGGCTAATGTATTGACATCTTCTTCCTTATCAGAGCCGATGATCTGAGTCGATGGTCCATGGCTGTTCGTCTTCTCGATGTGGCTTCTTCGTCGTCGTACCGAGTCGGATCTTCGTTATTGGTGGGCACCATTCGAATGAGGCAAGCTCATTAGCCCAGCAATCCAAGAAGGTATTGACCACTACTACCGATGAAGGTCGGTTTAAAAAATATTGATTTCCTAATCACTAACTATTAGGTAACGCAATATCGAGTGCTGCAGGACGGATCACCGATTGAAAAAAAATTATTATCAACGGATAGCCGTATCAACAACAATCATGTTGTATAAAGGAGACACTGCCAGATGAGGTTGCATGATTCGAGAGATCCTGAGGATCCTGGCTCGCCCCACTGAGGAAGATCCTATTCGACACGAAGACGAGGACCCTACATCGAGAACACGAACAAATTTGGACNACCGATGAAGGTCGGTTTAAAAAATATTGATTTCCTAATCACTAACTATTAGGTAACGCAATATCGAGTGCTGCAGGACGGATTACCGATTGAAAAAAATTATTATCAACGGATAGCCGTATCAACAACAATCATGTTGTATAAAGGAGACACTGCGAGATGAGGTTGCATGATTCGAGAGATCCTGAGGGTCCTGGCTCGCCCCACTGAGGAAGATCCTATTCGACACGAAGACGAGGACCCTACATCGAGAACACGAACAAATTTGGACTCACCTCAGATCATCGATTCTGATAAAGAGGAAGATGTCGAAATGTTAGCTGGATAAATCTCTTTATCAATCTCGTATTAGCTCAATATCCAGGAATGTCTAAATCACAATGTTCATCTTTTTATTTGCAAACTATTGTTTTTTTCATTACAGCTTATAATGTGAAATACAACCACGCTGCTACTAGATGATTTGCAAAGTCAGGGACGATTGCCCAGCTTTGAGCATGCGACTACCCTTTCCGACGACTCACGTGTTACTTACTGAACTATTGAGGCTTTTTATTGAGGCTTTTGCTTCGCGTTTCCATCAGCCATGTTTTGGCAAAGGGTAGGCAGTAAATTAAGGTTAAAACATTGTGATTTTGACTGCGGCTTCGCTTAACTGGATTCAGTGCCGATTTGTGCTCCTCAGATATTCCCTTTTGGTGGGTGATTGTCGATCCCACCGTTAGGATAGAAGACTAGATGAGGGAAAGACACTTTGAGATGACACCCACTTCGTATCGCCTTGTAGTTGCGTATTCAATTATAGAAACAATGAGGGCAATATCCGGCCCATAAAGAGTCGAAAAGTGCAGTGGTGCTCGTCGAAATTGCTTGCGAACTCGTTACCACTCACGGAGGCTCGTGATGAAGATTTGGAAAACCGTAGCACTGTTATC